AGAAAGAAAGAAAGAAAGAAAGAAAGAAACATAAGAATACAAAAGGAAAATGCTCCATTCCAATATAAAATGCGTTTCAAGTGGAAGCGCTGTTGCAATTAATCTTGGTTTTCTTGCAAGTTGTTCATTCAATTCTTGCTTCTGGTGATGTGGACATATAGACGAACTCAGTTGCGAAATTAAAACGAACAACTAACAGTTTTTTTTTTTTATTTTGTTCATAAAAAAGGCCTGATAAACTGGTCGATCCATCCTTCTTTCAAACTTAAATCTTTTCTCCATCGCAAAGACACCACCCTTTGTTAGTGTGCTCTTAGAGCCAATAATCCGTTGTTTGGACAGTATAACTTCTTGCACGAATTTATAATTCATTTAATCACGCTTCTATTTCAAGTTTACCAACTATTATAAGAATGGCCATTGCCTTTATGATTCTCAGTTTTTTTGTTTCTCTTTTTGGGGACGGGGTTCCAGGTAAGTTCCTGCAATTTTCCTAAATTTTAACGGTTTTTTGCCTGTAGATATTTATATAGAATCCCTGCCCTATAACGGTCAGATGTCCCATATGAGTTACTGCCCTTGGCACGCTTGAGAACTAGTCGTAGCTTTAAGCATGGTATGGGCGGAATCTGCCCAGTGTTCACTTTTCACTCTCGATACAGTCTAAAAACGTCTCCTCGTCCTTGTGGGTGACGAATTGCTTTCCACTCTGCAAACCCCTTCCTCACTGACTAGACGTCACAAGACTCTCACTGCTCGGTCGCTATTTCCATGGAGAGTGTTCACATTAACTACACTCTGCTTTGTTCCACAAGTCGGAAACTTCAAGTTTAAGACCCGCCATGCCACGCACGTTGTCGCAAACTACACTAATTCCCTTCGTATTCCCTTGGGAAGACGGAAGTTCCACTTGTGCAGCTTCTTCCCGCAAACCATTGCCATGTGGAACCGACGCCTAGGAGGATGGTTCCCTCATCACTACAATGTTAACCTGTTCAAGTCTAGAGTTAACCCTTATCTTCCACACATATCCCCGCACGCTGTACCCTCTTACTCTGTAACCCCTACCCCGAGTGACCTCCAGACTTTGTACAAGTGAACCCCATCTGTAAAAAAAAAAAAAAAAAAAAAAAAACAAGAACTATATAATGAGGAAGAAAATATACTTATAACTATCAATCAGCGGTCTCACCTTAGGTTAACGGTAGAAATCTTCTCTTATAACGACAATCACTCTTTAGTAAGAGACTATGTTTATGTAATGTCTTGTTGTGTCTCTTATATTGTTCATGTTAATAAAATGGTGAAAGTTATTGTGCACCATTCCTTTTTATTCCTCTTCGGAGATACCAAAACCAAGCAAGCGCAGGAATTCAAATATCTGGGAAGTCTTTTACCAGAGGACGGTAAGTTTGACACTGAAAACCGAAGGCGTGTTGTGATAACCAAGGAAACATTTTAAAAGGTAAGCAACGTAATAAGAAATAGAAAAATCTTCACTAGAGACAAGAAAAAGTGTATAGCAGTGAGTGATGAACAATTTCTTCAAAGATATAGAAGAGACTTGAAGCAGCAGAAATGTGGTTCTACAGAAGGATAATGAGGATACCATTAACCTAACATGTAAGCAACGACAAAGTATTAGAGAAAATGGAAACGAAAGGAAACTTATACTTCAGAAAGCGATAGTTGAGGTTTCTGTGGCACGTACAAAGTAAGTTTGAGTAAATGGATGGTGGAATAGGGTTTAGGAAAATACAAGGGACAGTAATTATGAAAAGCCTACTTCCTGTGGATACACAGCATATAAAAGCAGACCTCGGATTTATATGTTTGAAAGCTCATCGAGGTACGAATTTGATTTTGGTGAACGATAGAGAAGTCCATATACTTGGGTAGAAGCGTCGCTCCCCGCGGCGGCTCAACGGGGATTTAGACAGGCTAGATTTGGCAAACCTAGTTGCATCGGGATGTCGGATGCTTGTTCTGTCAAGAGCTGCCTTGGTTACGGCAGTTCGACTGGTGCTACCCTCTTCCGCCAGTTTAGTCGTTAAGATAGGGTGTAGATCCTTGCCTATTCCGCCGCTGATGTCTTCCGGGGTTGGTCGCATTCAGTCTGGTCTTTCATCTTCGAACTTACCTCCATGGGTGGCCCTACAGGATTTGGAATTACAGACGGCTTACCTCATGTGATCATTGGGATAAGTAAGCCTTATACAATGACAAGGAACGACCATATATATTTTACACTCGATGTCGAAATGAACAGTTCCTTATCAAATGTATCACTTTAATTTACTATTACTTTAATGACAATAATAGAAACAATATTAGTATAACAATTATCACTCATGAGAGAAGCAAAATCGAGTAATTGATTTGTTTTTACGGCTTATCAAACATTTTCTGTTTTATTAAAGCCATAAAAATATTTTTAGATTGTAAGAATTTTTTGGAAATAATAATGATTTACGGATTCAAGTCGTACTAATTAATCCATAGCAACTGGAATTGGAACTAAGTTTTCCGATTTTCAAATTCGAGCCGTTACACCATCGTACAACCTAGCTTATATAACCTGGAAATCTCAAGCGGTCACACATCTAGGTACTGGCCCATGTTAACATCGCTGATCATACGAGAAGGAAATGCATATGCGTTATTACTAGTAGCCGGGATAGTAATTGCATTTTTGTATTTCATTCTCTACTTATCAAGTTCTATATTATCATCATTAATCATTATTATTATTATTACTTTAAGTTAATGGATGAGGTAACCAAGGCGACTTAGGAGTCACAACTTGATACATGGAAACACCTTCGATCGGGATCCCTTTTCCTATATTTTAATATTTTGTTTTTGGAGGCCATATTTTTCTACAGCAACACAAAATAGGCATAATTTTAAGAAAGGAAAACAACGCCATTTTTCTAACAACGATACATATTTTATCAATAATCGATACTCAAAGTGGATTAATGATGCATGAATAAGAATTACATAGAGGAGATCAATTTTAAAGCCTGTCAAATGCTTCGAGATATCTAAAGCTACAAGCAGAACCTCGCCGTTCTTATCTAAAGCCGAGTAGACAAATTCAGTAATGGCTGTTAACAAATCAATGGTTGTGTGTGTGTGTGTGTGTGTGTGTGTGTGTGTGTGTGTGTGTGTGGTAAAAAATTAGAAAAATGTAAAAAGAAATAAAAATCAAGAAAGAAAGAAAAAACAAGAATGAAAGAAAGAAAGGGGCGAAAAGTGTAAAACATTGAACATCTGTTTTAGAATTAAATCAAAGGCAAAGTCGAAAAGGCGGTTTAGATAGATAGATAGATAGATAGATAGATAGATAAAAGCAGGTTAAGAAAGAAAGAAAGAAAGAAAGAAAGAAAGAAAGAAAGAAAGAAAGAAAAGATACATATCTCCTTAAAGTGATAAAAGTTTAGCAATCGATGCACAACATTCATTAATGTTGTATAAATCAGTACACCCAGGTGATAAATTTCAAAGTGCATTAAATGTATTAAATCAAATTAATTTAGATTTTTCTTTCTAATGTTAGGTTCTACTTAAAATTTCGTGGAAATTTAACAGAGAGTGAGAACCCAATGTTGTGTACAGACTACATTATACAGTATTTTTGTCTGCTGCTGTGCAGGCAAACCAACCATGATGAGATTCTTACTCGGGTCTCGTCGTTTATTTTTTCTTTCTTTTTTTCTTTCTATCTATCTATCTATCTATCTATCTATCTATCTATCTATCTATCCAAGTTCATATTTATCCATCTATATCTGTCTATTTATATCTATCTGTCTATCCATGTGTCAAATTTCAGATAAAATATATCTGTAAAAGGACAAATATGAATAAAGACCAAAGGGAAACTTATCTTAGACGACGTTCAAAGTCCAAGTACTTTCGACGATTGCTGATTGTTTTCAAAAAAGAATGTAAGAGGCTCAGAAATAGCCACCATGATGTTTTTATAGACGTCACATTAAAGTTTTCAATGGACATGGGCTCAAATGATATGACGATGAAATAGAATTTACCGTTTCATATTATTTTACAGTCTAATGGCATTTTAACACATACCCACACAGACTAAAGCAAAAACTTAAATGGAAAACAAATTTTATTAATAGTTGGATTATTTTTTTTTTAATGTAAAGCGATTTCAGGATTGATAATCGTTTTTTTTTTTTTTTCATTTCTTTTTCTTTATGCACATAGAATCACAGATAATTGTATTGTTAACCAAAATCTAACAGATAATAGAAGGAGAACCGGAGATTTGGGATATATGTTTACGTATTACCTGACCTTTCTATTTAATAGAACATTTTTAAATAAAGAACATTTTTAATCATTTCACCCCAAGCAAAGCAATAAAGCCATTAAGATACAAGGGGTTATTGTATGTGAGGGACTAGGAAAAATATTAATTAGGAGAGAAAACAATAAAAGAACAGGAATTAAGAAGACATAAAATATTGATTGACATTGCATTTAAATTTTTGAAGATCAAAGTTGACAGGGAAGCAAGAAGCCGGAAGAGAGTTCCACAAGCGAGAAGTGCGAGAGAAAAAACTGTTAGTATGGAACCTAGGGTTAGATCTAGCTATTTCTATCGAAAAATGATGAGATCTTCTCGCCAATCTATTACTGCGCTTAGAGACTAGGAACTCTAGCATCAGAACAAAATGAAGGTATTTATAGAAAATGTAGAGAGAAGTTAGATCACGCTGTTGGGAAAGTGACTGAAGAAAGCGATTACTGCCTAAATATGATGCTTAATATATATGTGCGGGGGTGTCTAGGTCTTTGTTGTGTTAGAGGAAGCAACGAACATAAGCCGAAAATTTATTCCGCTATATGCTAAGGAAAATGTACATGAGCAAACGAGAACAAATGATTGCAAAGAGAATAAAGATCGATGATTCTACGTGCACAAGTAATGGATGCAGCCATTAAAAGATTGTAAAACAGTAAGAGCTTCAGATAGATAGATAGATAGATAGATAGATAGATAGATCTAAAAAGACTGAGATAGATAGATAGATAGATAGATAGATAGATAGATAGATAGAAAGATAGATAGATCTAATAGATGAGATAGATAGATAGATAGATAGATAGATAGATAGATAGATAGATCTAAAAAGACTGAGATAGATAGCTTTGAATAGACTGTGATAGATAATTTCTTGAAAATAATTCAAATTGTAAATAAATATATATTCCAACAATAAATACTTTCTTGCTGTCTTCGTGTCTTTTCATCAATAGATTGATAGATAGATAGATAGATAGATAGATAGATATAATGAACTGGCTGACATAGGTAAATAGGCTTAGATAGATAGATAGATAGATAGATAGATAGATAGATAGATAGATAGATAGATAGATCTAAAAAGACTGAGATAGATAGATAGATAGATAGATAGATAGATAGATAGATAGATAGATAGCTAGATAGATAGATAGATCTAAAAAGACTGAGATAGATAGCTTTGAATAGACTGTGATAGATAATTTCTTGAAAATAATTTAAATTGTAAATAAATATATATTCCAACATAAATATTTTCTTGCTGTCTTCGTGTCTTTTCATCTGAATGAAATTTACTCCATGTTGTGTTTGATAACATTTTATAAAGTCTAACCGCAAACAAGTCACACCTTTATACATACAAATCCATTAAGTCTACTTTCTTTGAGTAGTAACGTTTTAGAATCAAAAGTACGCACTTGGCCTTAATGTAGTTTTTTTTTTCCATACAACACATCTTTCCCTTAAAAGCGAACACGGTTCTATCTAATGTTTTGTGTGACACAATTTTCTCCTCTTTAAATATTTGCTTCATTTTCTTAAAAGAAAAGACCGTCTTTTAGGATCGAAAAGAATGAATTACTCGAATTACTCGAATACAGACACGTTTATATTTATATAAAAGCAGCCACTCGAATCCGAAGATATCAATCTAATAGGATGGCTAGCTAATCCCTAATGAAGACGCCTGCACAGGCTTATTCAACACCGACAGAGCCCAACTCTGGTTTGTACCGCAATTCTGCTGAGCGGACCATAGTCACAGTTTCTAGGAGAGAACGCGTTAACTGACATGATCAACAATTTGAACCAGACCAGCACGTTCAAAAGCTCGGATTTCGTGCTAGGAGAACCCAAATGTGCCGTCTGCCAAATTTAAATCACAAAGCTTGGTGCCGCCCGCTAAAATCGCCTCCCATAACAAATCGACCATGGTGAAATTCAAACTCTGATCTCATGGTCTGAGATAGATAGGTAGATAGATAAGGAACGGACTGACATAGGTAAATAGACATAGATAGATAGATGAGTAAGCGAAAGTTCGAAGCACTCGGCCACGTCCTTCCATATATATATATATATATATATATATATAATGTTATAAACATATGTAATCTAAAATGGATAGCACACAAATATATATATATATATATATATGCATACATATATATATATATATATATATATATATATATATATATATATATATATATATTTAGATATATAAGGTTTCCTGTTGGACCACAAAACCTTCAACCCTTTTTTCGCATAAACTCATTAGTTGTTATTCCCAATATAAAATACCAAGGATTTCTATCATGAATTTGTTCTCAAACGCTTGGATCCTTCTTTCTTTATCTGCCAACAGTGTCCACTTTTCACATCCATATAGGAGAATGAAGATTACCAGCGATTTGTACAGTCTGTACTTTGTTTGAAAACTGATTTTGCTCCTTCATATTCTTGCCAATTTGGCCATCGCTGCCATGGCAGCAATCCGTGTGCGGATTTCTAAGTTGCAGGCAAGATTTAAAACTGGACACTTCCTCTAGTGAATTCCCGTTCATGGTAATGTTGACACAGGTGTTACTGTCTGTGCTATTCACCATTATTCTGGATTTCTCGGATCTGACCTCCATTCCATATGCTCCTTCTTTTTCAATAAGTTTGTTGGTCAAGTCCTGGAGCTCACTGTTACTACCTGCTATGAGGTCAAAGTCATCTGCAAAACGTAGGCTACAGACAGTTCTGCCACCGATAGTGATTGAAGGATCATTGTCGATCGTTTTCTTGCGTGATTCCCTCTAGAAAAATGTTAAATAATGTGCATGAAAGTAAGCATCCTTATCTCACGCCGACAGTTGTCCGGAAGATTCATTCCATTTATTTCACACAAGACTGAACTGATAGCATCTTTATATAGGACCTGGATGACTACATTGAATTCCTTAAGGATTTGCCAAAGAACGTCATGTCATACACGATCAAATGATTTCTTGAAATCAAGAAAGTTGTGGAACAAGTTCTTCTGGTGTTTCAGATGTTTCTCTACGACGATCCTGCAATTGAAGACCCGTTCCATTGTACTTCGTCTGGTTCTAAAAACCTGTTTGTTTATCTGATAACAGTTCTTCAGCCTTGGATTTCAAACGATTCAAAATGATACAGAGCAGGACTTTACTGGGATGACGGATCTGGCTTATTGTCCTATAATTTCGGCACTGCCTGAGGCTTCCTTTCTTTGGCAGGGTATTACCAATGACTGAGTCTGCTCGTTAGTCCACTTTATTGTTCCCAAATCTTCTGGCATAGTGTTGTTAAAACTTTTATTGTTTTATCAACTCATTGGAATATTATCGACTCCATGTGACTTTAAGCTCTTTACTACCAACTCAATGTCTTCTTTTCAGTATTGACGGTCTGGTCTCGTCTTCTGTAGAGTGTTGGTCACTTTGCAATATAGAAACATCTTAATGAAGCTGGTAATTGTATTTATGGAGAACCTCCTCACTGTCCTTCAACAATTTACCTTTTTCATCCTCTACCATTGTTTCTCTCTGTTGGCTGATCTTAATGAGCGATTTGGGAATATTGTAGGCCTGTTTGTTATTGTCAGTAAGTATATCTATCTCGATGGTTTTGCACTTATTTTGTATCCACTCCTCTTTAGCTGCTCGCATTTTTCTCCTCATGTCACTATTCACTTCCTGATATTGGGCATAGACCTCGTCACTTAAGTGCTGCTTTCCCCTCAGTTCTCTCCTCTTGTCACAAAATCCAAGATTTCGTTCGTGACCCACGGTTGGATTTTCCTTCGCCGTTTACCCTAAACTTCCCCAGCTGTTGTGACTAACAATTCTTTAATGTGATCTACCAAAGTGTTTACATCACTGTTAATTAAGTTTAAGGCTGCAAACTTGTTGCCAACTTTGGTCTGAAACAGTTGAGTGAACTCAGGGTCTTTTAATTTCTCAACATTGAGGCGGATGCGAAGGTCGTTTGAACAGCGCTTAATTTTCAGCCTTAATTTAAAAGTCATCCCCAAATCATAAAAGCTGCCCATGTCTGCGCCACGAAATGTCCTTGTGTTTGCCTTGTTAATTCTAGATTTATAGTGTTGTGGAATCAAAATAAAATTGATCTGGTTATGGAACTTCCCATTAGGTGAGTGTCAGGTTGTAGTTCGAGACAGCTTATGGGGGTGCAGAGTGTTGGCTAAGAGTGAAATGATGACTTCGAGCAATCTGAGATCTATATCTTTCGTCTCCTTAATGCCAAATCTTCCGACTGTTCCTGCTCAGTTTGTGTATGCATCCGGTCCTAACTTTGGCATTCCAATATATTTATATGATGGTGATGTCTTTCTCAATGTAAATTCTTCTAATTTCGTAGAATTCTTCAAATTACTTGTCATCATGATCTAATCTTGGACATAGGCCTGGATGATGGTCGTGTTGTATGGTCTGGCTGATACACAGATAAAAATAAGTCTGCTGGATTAAAGATGATGACACTGTAATATCTTTCCTTCAATAGATGTCACTCCATCTTGGTGCTTCTTCTCATCTCCAGAAAACCAAATTTTATGTTCAAATTGTGTTATTATTTCTCCAAAACCAATCCATCTGACCTTTGACATCCCAATGATGTCCCAACGATAACATTCCAGTTCATGAGTAAGTTTTTAGGATCTTCCGGGGGCGTATGGGGTGTGGACGTTCCATATTACTGTTGTAAATTTTTTCGTTGAGAACCTGATACTATGTTTCGAAGTAGCCGATTCATCACGCCCATCGTGAAGCGAATCAATGGGACGCGCGGTCGTTTTTAATCCGGGCCTCGACTGATCCGACATGGTCATATTTTGCTTCATAATCCTTTCGGTGGGCTTGTAGATAACTTGGCGGCGTCCATCTCCTCTCCAATCCTTGACCGACAGCCGAAACCACTAATATGATGCGGATGGCCTTCGGTCTGTACACTTGGTCATTGAATCCATTGTCCAGCCTATGCCCGCTTGTGTAGATCATTCGTCTAGTAGTGCAGTGCAAACACTACCTCTTCACGAAATATCTTGAAATATTAAAGAGTAAATTTATTCAATAAAATCGTCATTGGCTTCAACCACGGCCTCCAGATGACTTCAGAATCTCCTTCTGGACGGTCTCCTTGTTTAAATTGGTAAATGCTGCCATAATGCTTGCCTTCAGTTCCTCTTTATTGTTGCAAGAAATTTTATTGGTCTCTCACTCAAATGGGCCTCACATCAAGGGGATTGCAGTCTGGGAAGTTAGGTAGCTAGACAATGGGTGATATAGTCGCAGAAATTGTCTGAAAGCCATGACACGGTTCTCCTGCTTGTATGGTTTGGTACAGTCCTGTTGTCAGACATAGGGTTTTCAAGCAGCCACACTCTTGACCCAGGGCAGTACGTCCTCCTCAAGGTGCTTGATGTAGGCCTTCATGATGAATGGAGGCATAAGGTCGCTATCATTAGTGATCACTCCAAGCAACATGTTGATTGGACATATCCTTCAACTCTTTCCGAATCCTCTGAACGATTTCTCAGATTGAAACCCAAACACTCTGAAATGTTCATGCTGGAGTTCCTGACGCGAATGCTAAGCAGTACAGAATGACATTACTAAATTTCTGGCGGAGTGAATTGCGTCATGGTGTGTGTGTGTGTGTTTTTTTTTTTTTTTTCTCACAGACAGTTATCAACTGACCCTACTATACTGCGCAGTCGACAAAATAAAAAATAAACAACGCGCATGCGTGAATTTTAAACTATAAAATGGCGACAATTTACATATCTCAGCCTGTATAGGTATATAAATATAGAGATAGATATTTGTATGGTACGTTGTTAAACGCGTTAAGCCAGTTACCTTCATGTTTTTACAGTAAGATTCGTCCTGTACAAGCCTCGGGGGCCACACGCAGTAGAGATTTACGCTGAGGGGTATTTTATACGGCTAGGAAGCGTATCAAGACTTAAACAGATTAAGACTGTAGTGATCGGAGAAATATTCTCTTGGGAGTCTGTTGCACATAGCAGTGATTCACGGGAAAGAAACTTACTTCTCACCGATGGAATACAGAGGAAATATGGATGATCTGCTACAAATGTCATAGCGGTCCTAGCCGTGAAGGTTAGAACTCTGATTTCTCAATCCGAGTCGTCATCCAGTACACCACCCACACACCTCTACTTACAGCTCATGGCTTTACGGCCATATCACGTTGAAATACCGATTCCCGTAAGATCGCCGAAGTTTAACAACGTCAGTAACCACGTGGGGTGACTGCTTGGGAGTACCAATTGCTGTAAGCTTGGATGTGCGGATGGTGTAATAGATAACGACACGGGATTGTTAATCAGAGAGCCAAGTTCCAATTCCAGTTGGGTTATTAATATTCGCTTTTTGTTTCCCTGATAATTACAATCTTTAATAAGTTAAATGCAAGGTCAATCGGTCCCTTTTGTCTACCTGAAATCTATTCTTTTATTGTCCTTTCCTCAATCCTTCCACGTAAGTTTTCTCATTCACTTTCGCTCTCTGTAACACCCCAGATTAAGATTAGATTAATTGAGGAAGCATCCTCTTGGGAGTCTGTTCCACAAAAAAGTGGTTCGTAGAAAGAAGCTGCTCGAGTGGAACTTACATCTCACCAACAGAATACGAATGAAACGATGGTGGTTCTCTACAAACTGGTGGAACTAAGGAATGTAGTTCGTCTGAACACATTCCGCGGGGAAAGGCGATAGACTTGCGACGTGAGAAACGGGTTGTTGGGGTGGAAAATAATTCGTCACCCACAAGGATGCGGAGAAGCTTTTGGACTCTATGGAGGTTGGAAAGTGAAAACTCGGTAGCTCCTGCTCATATATGGCAACAGTACTCCATTTCAGCCTCATCGGGCTTTTTTTATAAAGGGTGATATAATTGATTCGTTTTTATGGTTTATCACCTATTTTGCAGGTTATTTAAAAACAGGAAATAATTTTAGATTCTAAACATTATTTTTGTTTTCGGCGATAACAGTGGTTTAGTGATACATGTCTTACTAATTAACCCATAGTGGGGGAGAAGAAGCGGTGGATTCATATTTTTTCCAAGGATATTTGTGCGTAAATGAATATAAAAAGTAAAACGGGAATTGGAACTCAGCTTTCCGATGAACAAGTCCGAGCCATTATCCATTACATCACCTGCATATCCAAGCTTACAGCATCTTGTATTCCCACTCATAACGTTGCTTAACTTCGGCGATGTGGCCGTAAATCAGGTAGATGCAAACAAACATAGCATGATTGCATAATGAACTTGAGAAAATACATTCCTTGCTGAAGATGTTTCTATACATAAATTTTAAAGAGGTAAGAACAATACTGAATTTACATATTTGGCTGGTATTGGTTGAAGGAAAACATATTTTTCTTTACATTGAATGTTTTAATCAAGATCTCATATGAGAATCGAGTTTGTCTTTGGTATTTTTACACTTTTCCCCCTTCGCCGTGCCATAAAGTAATTTATTTTGCAGTCTCCATTATTAAAGCAGATTTTAATTTCAAAAATAATTTGTTTCCCCCAGAACATTAAATTTCAAATTATACTTCAGGATTCACAAAGATTTCTACCTCGTTTCCGTTTTGCCATTGTCAATAATAATTAGGTTTTTTTCCAGAATTTTCTTCTGTATTTATATTTAAATTATTGAAGTAATTGTGAATCTGATGATTTATAAATTGAAAATAAACGCGTATTGATACTAACATTTTTATTGCCCTTGTCTTCGTTAACTTTATCATTATTATCAGTTTTTATATTTATACATTCTTTTTATAGATACAAATATTTAAGTAAATTCTCTGTTTATAATAAACAGGATTAACGACATTTACCGGTCTGAATGTCCGAGAAATTTTCATAAAAAATATGTGTCCTCCGACAGGAATTGAACCTGTATCCTATTCCTGTTGGAGGACGCATGTATTCTGTGAAAATTTCTCGGACATTCAGGCCGGTAAATGTCGTTAATACTGTTTATTATAAACAGAGAATTTACTTAAATATTTGTATCTATAAAAAGAACGTATAAACATAAATAAAAATGTCTTAAAATAATTGTCGGACTTTGTCCATTTCATAATGTGTGACGCCATTTGTTTACATTTGGATACGCATGGAGCAGATATGAATGTACGGGAGAAAATCATGGAAAAGTGTAGTTTAAAAACAGTAAAATCGACCATGCTAACCGAAACGCTCCTCTGTGGCTAAATCAGTAAAGCACGTTAGGTGACGGTTTCGTATAGGATACAGGTTCGATTTCTGACGGAGGACGAATATTTTCTATGTAAATTTCTTGGACATTCAGGCCGGTAAATGTTATTAATACTGTTTATTATAAACAGAGCATTTACTTAAATATTTGTATCTATAAAAAGAATGTATAAACATAAAAATGTCTTAAAAATAATTGTCGAACTTTGTCCATTTCAGTATTATCATTATTAAGCCTATTTTCAATATGAACATTATCATTAGTATACTTATCATAATTATTATCATTTTCATTGACGACTCCATTTCTACGGCCATATTGGCATTGAAACACCGTTTTCCGTACGATCACCGAAGGTAAGCAGCGTTGAGCCTGGTCAGTAGCTAGATGGGTGACCGCACGAGAATACCAGGTGGTGTAATCTTGGATATGCGGGTAGTGTAATGGATATTGGCTCGGAATTGTTAATCGGAAAGTCGCGTTTCCTTACGATTATTGAAGTTAAGCAACATCGAACCCGGTCAGTATTTAGATGAGTGACCGCTCGGGAATACCAGGTGCGGCAAGCTTGGATATGCGGGCACTGTAATGGAATTGTTAATCCCGTACGATCACCGAAGTTAAGCACCGTCGAATCTGGTCAATACCTTGAAAGGTATGAATCTCCCTCTTCTCTCTCCAAGCTATGGGTTAATTAGTAAAATTTGTACCACGAAATGATTATTATCTCAAAAAATTCTTACCTTCAAATATATTTTCTGGCTTTAAATAATCTGCAAAAGGGTTGATAAACCGTAGAAAACGAACGAAGAACATTGCTATTTTTATTATTATCAACTTATCACGTTTATTATGAATTCCACAGTCAGTTTTATTATTATCAACATTTAACCTTTATTATTAACCTTTTTGCCTATTTTCTTATTGTGAACATTATCATCTACATTAACAACCCATTGTCATCTTTATTATTATTATCCCATTCTGGGTAAGACGATAAACTACATCTGCGTCCTGGGTAAAAAGATAAACTATGTCCAGCAGCAAGGCCTCTGATCAGGAAGTTTTGAGGAGCATAGAACCACCTCTTAATTACTGGTGTTCTCAGGTCCTCCCTGACCCGGGGTGGTAGCACCTGTTAGGGACCTAGCTATGGGCAAATAGTTAACACCCAAACTTAGTTTTTAATACCGGAAATACTTTGTAATTTAAAAAAAAAATTATTACCAGCAATAATTTTTGAAGGAAAAATTATTATCAGCAAAAATTTTTTTTAAAAATACCTGCAATACAAACAGCTATACATTCTTTGGAAAAAATATGACCGGTTATAGATTTCTTCAAGGAAAAATATTCCCAGAAATAGATTTTAGAAGAAAAACATTACCAGCAATAAAAATTTTGTCGGCATTAAATAACCCATTTAAGTTGATATGCCGTAAAACAAAACAAACCAAAAAACTTTATCAGTATTATCCTGATCATTATTAAATTTGTTATTTTTATTATTTTCAACATTATCATCTTCATTATTATTTTTATTTTTCTTATTATCCATACTATTACATGCATTATTAAGTTCATTATCATCTTTATTATCAATTTTATCATTTTCATTATTATCAGAATTACTGAATCGATATAATGAGTTTTATTTAATCAATATTTGAGCATCCTGATTCTCAACAAACTTTTTCAATGAAAAATCAAACTTAACATTTTATATTGGATTTTATCATTACACTTTATGATTTATTTTAATTTGTGGGCGTGGGGTGGGGATTTTCTTATAAAATCATTAAGGCTTTAATTTAAAAAAAAATAAATCATTAATTATGAAAAAGAAGGGAAAACGCCGAGAAAGAAATTGTCCAGTATAGAAGTAATGTCCCAAGCAACGATATATATATATATGACGTTGAATGGCAAGAAAGTAGCGACCAAAACAAATGAAAACACGCGCGTCTCTCTCTCTCTCTCTCTCTCTCTCTCTCTCTCTCTCTCTCTCTCTCTCTCTCTCTCTCTCTCTCTCTCTCTCTCTCTCTCTCTCTCTCTCTCTCTCTCTCTCTCTCTCTCTCTCTCTCTCTCTCTCTCTCTCTCTCTCTCTCTCTCTCTCTCTCTCTCTCTCTCTCTCTCTCTCTCTCTCTCTCTCTCTCTCTCTCTCTCTCTCTCTCTCTCTCTCTCTCTCTCTCTCTCTCTCTCTCTCTCTCTCTCTCTCTCTCTCTCTCTCTCTGAGTAACTTTATGAGACTTAAACTTAAGGATCCTTTCAAAATGTCTTGTCTAATATTTTATTCTCCCCACTCTTCCTGTCTGTCTCTTTCTCCCAAGTTCTCTACCGCTTTTTTCCTCCTACATTCTTTTTCCCTCTCTCTCTCTCTCTTTCTCTTTCTCTCTCTCTCTCTCTCACTTTCTGTATGTCTTTCCCTGTCTTTCTCTCTTTCTCTATCTCTCTTCCTGTCTCTTTCTCTTTCTCTCGTTTCTCTATCACTCTATCTCTTTTACTCTTGACAAATTTTTTTTTGTCTTGATGATCGAATTCATAAACATAAGAATCCTTTGAAAATGTCTACAATTTCCGTGTCAGTGAATACTTTTCATGTCAAAATATTTGAACCAATGTTCAGCCATTGGTTAGAGGCAAGGGACACCTCGACGTGTTGTAATGGTTAGCGAGCTTTCCTCGCTAAAACAGTTACGACTCAGCAATGTGTTCAATCCTCATAGGGTGGCCCATACATTCGGTCTTGTGTGTCAGCTAAGCCATTGATTACAGGCAAGATTTTATGAAGGCGTCGAAACTATTTTTGGTGAGACAATGAAAGTTAACAAATCTCCATTCTTACGAGATTTATTACGAAGCAAAGGGATCCATTTCTATTGATTTCTTTTGTCCATATTTCAGACAAAAGGTCAATCTTTATCTATCGCTCATATCCTTATAATCTTCACTTCCTGCCACATTCACTTGCATTCATCTCACATAACCTTATTCAGTACTTCTCTAACTTGAGTGCCACACGAGCCTTATATTGGGTGAACTTTAGTAATAAAAATATATATTTTATAAGAGTGTAACTGGATATAAAGATGAAGATGACAAGTAAGAACAAGCAATCAAATTTACGCGGATCATATTTACCAATTTTGATTTTATTTAAATATTGTTGTCCTTATTGTCGGGCAGAATGGAATTAAATTGTTTTGAATTGAATTGTCTATAATATTAGAAAATCTCCCTAGCTTATGATTTAATTAAGTTTTTTAATTCTCTCTCACTTTCTTTCTCTTTCTCTCTCTCTCTCTTTCTCTCTCTCTCTCTCTCACACACACACACACACACACATAGAAGACAAAGGATAGCATGACTTGGCCCTTCTGCCAAAACCGTCAAAGAAGATACGTACCATAATGTCAGGCATAGTACCAGGATAATCATAAAGTTAACAAGCTAGCATACTATTACTGTTCCGCTAAATAAGCTTCTTACTGGACACTTCCCGCTTGAGATTAGACAATGGTTATAAATAAATCATTGCTTTATTTAATTGAGAACTCTTTAAACTAACATGGTTACATTGGAATAATACATTATTGTATTTGTGTTTGATGGTTGAAAAAATAAAGTAAATCTTTTCTTGAATTCTTGAACTGTGTAAACCATACCTGTGTTCCGCTGACTCATTGGGTTTTTTGTTTGTCCTTTAAGACTTTATATTCAACAGTAGATAAACCAAGAATGGCCAATACGTTGTTAAATTAACACTCATCGACGTGAATTTCCCCTGGTGTCGAATAATCGGTTTTATGTCGGGTAGAAAATTGTAAACGGAATTGCCGAAAGTTATGCGTAATGTTTCAAGTGCTTTCCACATTGATCAATTACAGGGAGAGAAGATAGGAAAGATAGCGAGTGTAGCGTACATGTCAATGGTCCAGAATTTGAAATGAATATGAATTCATACGAAAATGAGACAATAGATTTTAGCGTCACCTTGTAAATCTAATTCTCACGAGGCGGATTAAGAGCAAGGGAGATAAGACATATGGTAGCGAGATATGACGAGCTTGTGTGAATAGTTGACGGAACGCAATTGCGGAAAAGCCTTCGCAAAGGGAAAAAAACTGCTAAAGGCCACAAGTGATAGCAGCTATGGTCGGCTATGGACCAGAAGGGTACAGAGACGACGAAAATGAACTCACATTTTCATGGCATCGGTGCATCAAAATTAAAACAAATTTTATTGATCGTATGTTGTTAACTTTTGCTTCATACATACACAGACACACAAACACACACATATATATATATGTTTGTGTGTGTGAGTGTTTTTAAATATATATATATATGTGTGTATATATGTGTGTATGTGTATATATATGTGTGTATGTATGTGTGTATATGTGTGCTTGTGTGCGTGTGCGTTTGTGTGTGTGTGTGTGTGGACATCGATGTCAGCACCCAGCGGTGATGGTCTGACGAATGCGATTAAGCATAGAACAGACTGTCGCTACTGGCTGTTGACCTCTATCTCTTAGTTTATTTCACCCTTCGTTAAGACGAATCGACTTCTCCAATCACTGGTATGTTTGTTTGCCTAAAAATAAATGCGTCTACATTCACCTTCATATTTGTCATGCGCCGATGCCTTAGGGGCAAATTCTCCGATTGATACCAAATCAGTCGGGTTTAAATCTAGCCGCACTGATGAGCTGCGAGACAGTCAATCTGTGGATGAGAAGATATATATGTGTGTGTGTTTATATATCTATCTATCTATATATCTATCTATATATATATATATATATATATATATATATATATAGATAGATAGATAGATAGATAGATAGATAGATAGATAGATAGATAGATAGATAGATAATATGAATATATTTACAAGATTATCTAATATTATTTTGCGTGGATAAATTAACGCATCATCCGTATATCGGAAATATGTTGATTGTTTAAAATATTTTGAAATGGAACCGTTTGTAGTAATTCGAATAAAATGTCAAGGCGAAAAAAAAAACACACAAAAAGATTCTTAACAACGAAAATTCGGATTACCGTTAGAATCTCGTTTAACCGCTCTTTTTTAAAATTACATTCAAGATTTAAGCGGCGGCGTCTTCTTCCTGATACATTTTATTCATTTTGATCTGCCATAGCAGTAATTCATAGACAACGGGTGTCTGAATTCGAGAAATCATTATAAACGATTGATTTATTCAAAATCATCAAATATGGCAGATAATGGAGGACAATCTCCTCAAAGATTAAGAAGAGACTTGAAACAACAGAAATGTGGTTCTACAGAAAGATGTTGAGGACACTATGAACCGAAAATGATAGAATCGACGAAATTTTAGAGAAAATAGAAACAAAACGGACACTTACATTTAATATCAGGAAGAGACTG